GTTACATTTAAATCATTCATCTCATTCATATTTATTAGCTGACATCATTCCTTCTGGAACATAACTCATCAAGGAGAAAATGGTTCACTACAATGGTGGTGAGGGAGGAGGAGTGGAAGAAGGTTGAGATGATGATTAGGATGATGATGATGATGGTGGTGGTGGCGATGGAAGAGGAGAGGAAGAAGGTTGAAGTAATTATGATGATGTTGATGATCATGACAATTATACAGCAGCAGCAGCAGCAGAAAACGCAAACCTGAATTGCGAGAAATTTTAAGTATCTTGGACCAATCAAAAGTGTCATCAAAATCACAAGTAATTATTGAGCATGATTCAACTACAAATATGAATATTTCTTTCAACACCGTCGTCTTTTAGCATTACGGCCAAGCATGGAATAAAAGTCGTCCCCAAGTGGGATGCAATTTTTTGGTTATTTTGAAGCCCCCACTCTGGTTTCCGGTTTGTGTCAAGATGGCGGGACGTGTTTCTCTCTAGCTCAGCGCATATCGGTTGATCGACGGTCCGACAAGCTGTCATCGCAAAACCACCAATTGTTATAGAATCAGATTTCTGACTCTAACTGCACGATGATTCGTTCTAATCTGTTAAATTCCAAAGACCTACAACGGATTGCAACGGACCGCCGTGCATGGAGAGTCGCGACCTCTGCCCTATGTGCCGCACTCGACACAAGAGGAAAGACTAACTAACTAACTCTGGCTTTTGCCTGGGGCCCTAAATATGGCCTAACGGCTGAACGGAGTTTCCGGCATCTCTCCACGGGTGATCCTCATCCGCATGGTGGCACTTTGTGTCACCGTGTGTTTATTGCTTGTGTGATGTCCTGGTGGGGTACAACTTACCTTCCTACCTGCCTTCGTCTTGTATGTACTACAGGTATCGGTAGCACGCTGGGCGCCGGACTGTATGTGGTGGCAGGCCAGGTGGCGGTGGACAATGCTGGTCCGTCTGTGACTATATCCTTCTTGGTAGCTGCAGTAGCCTCAGCCCTGGCAGGTAGGTTTTACATGAGAGAGCGTGAGCCCCGGCTGTAGAAAGTTCGAGGGTTTGTCTTAACACATTTATTTTTGTAGATAGTGTCTGTCTGTCTGTCTGTAACAATTACCTTGTAGACAGTGTCTGTGCGTCTGAAACAGTTATCTTGTAGACAGTGTCTGTGCGTCTGAAACAGTTATCTTGTAGAAAGTGTTTGTGTGTCTGAACAAATTATCTTGTAGACAGTGTCTGTGCGCCTGAAACAGTTATCCTGTGTGTGTGTGTGTGTGTGTGCGCGCGTGCGTGCGTGCTGGCGTGTGTATGTGTCTTGTAAAACGCATACACATATAGGGACACAAAATATCAGAATCGTGGTGGAAATACCATATATACATGTATGTATATATATATATTCACATATATATGGTAGACTGCAATATACAGACTAATGTGGCGAAAGAGTACACCGGATACAGAAATCTAGATATACAGTAGTTATGTAAATGCACCACCCATATTATTAAAAAATAGCCACAGTTCATAGCAATGGTGAGTATGACTAGCTAGACCAGCCTCTGTAAAGAAGAGTCTTACACAATTATAGCAAAGGATTTCAGGACCATTTATGTCAACATTTGGTATTTAGTGCGGTTTTTTTCAGACGCGCAGCTGTCATCCTTTCTGTAATAATTTATTCCTTTATTATCTTTTCCTTCCTGATGAAACTCCTCCACACAACACGGTTCATGGTATTTTGTTCCTGTGAGTCAATATATGTATCATTCATATCCCGCTTGCATACATCGCTATAAGGAAGTAGGGGTCAGCCTCGATATTTTCTACCCATCTTTAATTCACACTAGTGAATGTCCTTAGGGACTCTGTCATCCTTCATTCTCCAGGTGTGACCTAGCCACATGTGTGTGTGTCTGTGTGTATACTTTCTCTTCGTTCAACTGGCTAAACGCTCTAATACACTGAGGAGAGTTTTCTTTGCTGCCTTATTTGTATTCCTATTCTTTTGTGCAGGTACACCTGATTGCAGAAAATATTCAGTTCAGTATGTAGAAAACAAAAATTTCAAACTTTCTGCTCGTTCAACCGGGTAAAACACTCTATTATATTGAGGAGTGTTGTCTTTGCTGTCTTTTTTGTATTCCCATTTTTTGTGTGTGTGTGTGTGTGGTGGGCAGTTACACCTGATTTAAGAACATACATATCCTTTACTGTTGGGCTTTATACCCAGGCAGGTCGACCCAGGCTAAAATTGGTACCAGGATGGCTGTCCTGGGGAAGTAAAGACGGCCGGCGTAATGCTGACCACATAACGCATCCAGTGCTGAATTAGTTTAGTTTAGTTTAGTTTTTCCTTCCACGTATGCCGCTAAGCGTTGTGGGGAGATGCAAGTTCCTGTCATAAGCAAGGCGGGCAGCATCTGATGTTCTGAGGCCATGCTTTTGGCAGGTTTCGGAGACCCCGTCAATCCACCGTTTCCTTGGTCTTCCTCTTGCCTTATATCCTGAGCTTCTTTGGTTGAAAATTTGTGATGTTATTTGATCATTTTTCATCCTGGTTAGATGTCCAAACCATTTCATTCTTTGATGTTCTATGTAGTCTAAACATGGCCAGTGCTGAATGGTCTGTGAAAATATGGGACGCTCTTCCCATATACCCGATACGCCTAAGGCGTGAAAAGGGATCTTTACTTTTTACTTTTTATACCAAGGGATGTGTTACGCCGAGTTTGCGGCGCGGATTCCTCGAGCGGGGTCGGCCTACATCTACAGTTACGTCACGGTCGGAGAAGCCATGGCGTTCGTGATTGGCTGGAATCTGATCCTGGAATATGTCATCGGTGAGTAGAATATTTTTTGACTACGTCATTCTTTCAGCCTTTTGAGGATGTCTCAGGCCCGTTGCAGTCCCCTTCCTAAAAATGGAGATGGTGGGGTGGGGGAGGGGGGGGGGGGGTTGGTGTACGTATACACACAAGTGTGGGTGCATGTATGTGTCTGTATGAGCATAAGTGCGTGTATGTTTTTGTACGAGAGTGTATATATGTGTGTGTATGCGTTTGTGTATGTATGCATATTATGAGTGTGCATGTGTCTATGTATGTATGGACATGTAGGTGTATATTTGGAGCGTGTATGCTTTCATATATATGATGTGTGCATGCATTATTTCATTATGTTTATTTTTATATAAACATAACATGCATTGTTGACAAGATGCAATAGTGGTCTGAAAGATAAGTGCTTGGAAGAGCCGAGTGTAAGGAGGGCCTGCGTGCCCAATTTGTAACCGTTTGTTGAAAATACAGTCTGTTTATTCGTTCGTTATCTATCTCATTCTACATATCCATCGCTCTCTCTCTCTCTCTCTCTCTCTCTCTCTCTCTCTCTCTCTCTCTCTCTCTCTCTCTCTCTCTCTCTCTCTGTCTCTGTTTCTTTTCTCCCTCTCTCTATTTCACTCATCTTCTCTCCGTTTCCCTTTTGTTGGAGCTAAATTTGTTCTTTTTTCGGTCTTAATCAGTCTGTCTTGTCGCGAACGGGAAACGACGGACTCCATAACCGGATGTACAAGAATTTCAACACTGAGGACTCAAAACTAGCCCATATGTATAGGTACTCTAGAGCTCTAGACGCGTGCTGCACACGTACTACTGTCTATGTGCAGTAGATCTGTTAACTGTTTGCGTTCTCCGGTTGTAAACCAGGCGGAAAGTCCTGGTTGTTCGTCCATTTATGGACTTCGGCTTTATCCAGGACCTGAGTTTTGCGTGTGAGTCCGTTTTACAGATTTGCTTATTTGTATGCAGACTGTTAGTTTCTTGTCTCTCAGGCAGATGTACTCCGACTTTGAAGGAAACCACCAATTGGTCAACTCTTACGACATGCTTCTTGTGGAGGCAGTTGGTGTTTCTTGGGTTTCCCCACATTGGGACCCAGGAACCCATTCCGGAATGCAGTGGAGTGATGCCAGGTTTGATCAGTTAGCATTCCGGTGGAAACCAAGTCGCATGGATCAGTGGAGGACATGCGTCGCACAATATCCTTCACAGCAGCCTGTTGCCTTCTCATCGGAAAATCTCTTGGAGGAAAAACGCAAAGAAATGATGATCTTTCTCTCCCTCTATCTCTTCGTCTCTCTTTCGTTTGCTATATCTCCCTATGCTCTCTCTCTCTGTCTCTCTGCCTCTCTCTCTCTCTTTGTCTCTGACTGTCTGTTTCTTAATGTCTCTCTCTGTCTGTCTCTCTATTTCTGTCTCCCTCTGCGTCTATGTCTGTCTGTCTGTCTCTCTCTGTCTCTCAGTGTCTCTCTCTTAATGTCTCTCTCTGTCTCTATTTCTGTCTCTCCGTCTCTCTCTGTGCCTCTCTCTCTGTCTCTCACTGTCTCTCTGTCCCTCTATGTCTCTCTCTTAATGTCTCTCTCTCTGTCTCTCAATTTCTGTCTCTCTCTCTGCCTCTCTGTCTGTCTGTCTGTCTCTCTGTCTCTCTTTGTATCTCTGTCTCTCTCTGTCTCCCTCTTAATGTCTCTCTCTATCTCTATTTCTGTCTCTCTCTGTGCCTCTGTCTGTCTCTCTGTATCTCACTCTCTCTCTGTCTCTCTGTGTCTCTCTCTGTCTCTCTTTCTCTCTATGTCTATCTCTGTCTCTCTCTATCTCTCTGTCTCTCTCTGTCTGTCTCTCTCTCTCTCTCTCTTTCTCTCTATGTCTGTCTCTGTCTATCTCTCTAGTCTGTCTCTCTGTCTGTCTGTCTATCTAGTCTGTCTCTCTCTCTGTCTCTCTGTCTCACTATCTATCTGTATCTCTGTCTCTCTCTCTGTGTCTCTCTGCCTCTCTGTTTATGTCTCTGTCTCTCTCTATTTCTCTCTCTGTCTCTCTGTTTATGACTCTCTCTGTCTCTTTCTCTTTCTGTCTCTCTGTCTCTGTCTGTTTCTCTGTTTGCTCCTGTCTGTCTCTCTGTCTCTCTTCTCTGTCTTTCTTTTTCTGTCTCTCTGTCTCTCTCTCTCTGTCTCTCTTTTTCTGTCTCCATGTCTCTCTGTCTCCTTTTTTTCTTTCTTTTTTCTCTCTCTGTCTCTCTTTTTTCTCTCTCTTTTTTCTCTCTTGTTCTCTTTTTTTCTTTTCTCTCTGTCTCTTCTTCTCTTTCTCTTTCTCTCTGTCTTCTCTCTTTTCTTTCTCTCTCTTTCTTTCTTTTTCTTTCTTCTATTTTTTCTTCTCTTTCTGTCTCTGTTTTCTCTGTCTCTTCTTTTCTTCTTTTCTGTCTCTCTTTCTCTCTCTTTCTTTCTCTCTTTTTTTCTCTCTCTTTCTGTTTCTCTCTCTTCTTTTCTCTCTCTTTTTTCTCTTCTTTTTTCTTCTTACCTTCTCTCTGTCTTTCTCTCTTGTCTCTCTCTATGTATGTCTTTTCTCTTATTCTTTTTCTTTTTTCTTTTTCTCTCTTCTCTCTCTCTTTCTCTTTTCTCTTTTGCTTGTTTTTCTTTCTCTCTTTTTCTTCTCTGTTTCTTTCTCTCTCTTCTCTCTTCTCTCACTCTGTCTTTTTTTCTTTTTCTCTTTTTTTTCTATCTAACTGTCTCTCTTCTGTCTTGTCTGTCTCTCTCTTTTCTCTCTCTGTTTTTTTCTCTTTCTCTCTTTGTTTACTTTTCTCTCTCTGTTTCTTTTTTCTTTCTTTCTTCTTCTTCTTTCTGTCTTCTTTGTTCTCTCTTCTCTCTGTCTTTCTTCTTTCTCTCTTTTTTTTTTTCTTTTTCTCTCTCTTTCTCTTCTCTTTCTTTCTTCTTCTCTCTTCTTTTTCTTAATTTCTTCTCTCTTCTCTTTTTCTCTTCTCTCTCTGTTTCTTCTCTGTCTTTCTCTCTGTTTCTTTTCTCTTCTCTTTCTCTCTTTTCTCTCTCTGTTTCTCTTTTCTCTTCTTTTTTTCTTCTCTGTCTCTCTTCTTATTTTCTCTTCTCTCTCTTTCTTTTTTTCTTCTCTTTCTCTCCCTTTTCTCTCTATTTCTTTCTTTTTTCTTTTCTCTTTCTCTTTTAGTCTTCTCTCTTTCTTTTCTTTCTCTTCTTTTCTCTTCTCTCTCTGTCTCTTTTTTTTTCTCACTTTCTTTCTTGTCTCTCTTTTCTCTCTCTCTTTTTCTCTTTTTTCTCTCTTTTTTTTTTTCTTTTTCTTTTCTCTTTTTTCTCTCTTTTCTCTCTTTTTTCTTTTTTCTTTCTCTTCTTTTTTCTCTTTCTTTCTCTCTTTCTCTTTCTTTTCTTCTCTTTTTTTTCTTCTGTCTTTCTCTCTCTCTCTCTTCTCTTTCTTTCTTTTTTTTGTCTCTCTGTCTCTCTCTCTTTCTCTCTTTTTCTGTCTTTTTTCTTCTTTCTGTCTCTTTTTCTTTCTCTCTCGGTTTCTTCTCTTTTTCTTCTGTCTCTCTCTCTGTCTCTCTCTTTTTCTTTTTTTTTTTTCTCTCTTTTTCTCTCTTCTCTTTCTGTCTATGACTCTTCTCTCTTTTTCTTTTTCTCTTTCTCTGTTTTCTTTTCTTTTTCTTCTTCGTCTTTCTCTCTTCTTTTTTTCTTTCTTTTTTTTCTCTTTCTTTTTTTTCTGTCTTCTCTCTTCTTTCTCTTTCTCTTCTTCTTGTCTTCTCTTTTTTTTTCTCTTTCTTCTTTTTTCACCTTCTCTCTGTCTTTTTTTTTTTCTTCTCTCTTCTTTTTATGTCTTTTTTTCTATTTTTTTCTTTTTTCTTCTCTTTTTCTTTTCTCTTTTTCTCTCTCTCTCTCTCTCTCTTGCTGTCTCTTTTCTCTCTATTTCCTTCTCTTTCTGTCTTTTCTTTTCTCTCTCTTCTCTCTCTCTCACTCTGTTTTCTCTCTGTTCTTCCCTTTTTTTTTTTTTCTGTCTCTATGTCTTCTCTTTCTTCTCTCTCTTTCTTTCTCTCTGTTTATTTCTCTTTTTTCTTTCTTTTTTTTTTTTTCTCTCTTTTTCTCTTTTTTTTTTTCTCTTTCTGTCTTTTCTGTCTCTTCTTTTTTCTCTGTCTCTCTTCTTCTTTCTTTTTCTCTCTCTTTCCCTTTGTCTCTCTTCTTCTTCTCTTTTTCTCTTCTTCTTTTTTTTGTCTCTCATTCTCTCTTCCCTCTTCTTTCTTCTTTTTTCTTCTTTCTCTTTTCTCTCTTTCTCTCCTTCTGTCTCTTCTGTCTGTCTCTTTCTCTCTTCTTTCTCTTTCTTTCTCTTTTTTTTCTTTCTTCTTTTTTTTCTCTCTTCTCTCTCTCTTTATTTCTTTCTTTCTTCTCTTCTTTTCTCTTTCTCTTCTTTTCTTTTTTTTTCTTTTTTTTCTTTGCTGTCTTCTTTTTTTTTTTTTGTCTTCTCTGCCTTCTCTCTCTCTTTCTCTCTTCTTTCTTCTCTTTCTCTCTCTCTTCTTTCTTGCTCTTTCTATGTCTTTCTTCTTCTTTCTTCTTTTTCTCTGTCTCTCTCTCTCTGCCTCTTTGTTTTTTTTTCTTTTCTCTCTTCTTTTTCTTTCTCTCTTTCTTTCTTCTTTTTTCTCTTTTTTTCTTCTTTTCTCTCTTTTTTTTTTTCTCTCTCTTTCTTTTTTTTTTCTTTCTCTCTTCTTCTTTATTTTTCTTCTTTCTCTCTTGTCTTTCTCTTCTCTTTTTTCTTCTTTCTCTCTTCTTCTTGACTCTCTCTCTTTTTCTCTCTTTCTCTTTCTTTTCTCTTTTCTGTCTTTCTTCTTTTCTTTCTTCTTTTTGTCTTCTTCTCTTTTTCTTCTTCTTGTCTCTCTCTTTTTTTGTTTTTCTTCTTTCTTTCTCTCTTATCTTTCTCTCTTTTTCTTCTCTTCTTGTCTCTCTCTTTCTTCTCTCTTTTTTTCTTTTTTCTCTCTTTTTTTTCTCATTTTTCTTTCTCTGCTCTTTTCTTTCTTTTCTCTCTTTTTTTCTTCTTCTTTTCTCTCTTCTTCTCTCTTCTTTCTTTCTGCCTCTTTGTCTGTCTCTCTCTTTTTTTCTCTCTCTCTTTTTTTCTCCCTCTGCCTCTCTTTTTTTCTCTGTCTCTCTTTTCTTTACTTCTCTCTCTTCTCTCTTTCTTTATCTCTATCTCTCTGTTTATGACTCTCTCTCTGTCTCTCTTTCTTCTGTCTCTCTGTCTCTATATTTGTCTCTGTCTCTCTGTCTGTCTCTGTCTCTCTTTCTCTGTCTCTCTCTGTCTGACTGTCTCTCTCTGTCTCTCTTTCTCTGACTGTCTCTCTCTCTGTCTCTCTGTCTCTCTTTGTCTCTCTTTCTCTCTCTGTCTCTCTTTCTCTGTCTCTCTCTGTCTCTTTCTCTGCCTTCCTGTCTCTCTTTTTCTGTCTCTTTGTCTGTCTCTCCGTCTCTCTGTCTCTCTCTGTCTGTCTCTCTCTGTCTCTGTTTATGTCTCTCTCTGTCTCTCTTTCTCTGTCTCTCTCTGTCTTTTTCTGTCTCTCTGTCTCTCTTTGTCTTTTTCTGTCTCTCTGTCTCCCTTTGTCTCTCTGTCTGTCTCTGTCTCTTTTTCTCTGTCTCTCTCTGTCTCTCTTTTTCTGTCCATTTGTCTGTCTCTGTGTTTTTCTGTCTCTCTGCCTCTCTCTGTCTCTCTCTTTCTCTCTGTCTGTCTTTTTCTGTCTCTCTGTCTCTCTCTGTCTCTCTTTCTCTCTGTCTGTCTCTGTCTCTCTTTTTCTCTATGTCTGTCTATGTCTGTCTCTCTCTGTCTCTCTCTCTCTCTCTATATCTATCTGTCTCTATGTCTGTCTCTCTGTTTGTCTCTCTCTCTGCCTCTCTGTTTATGTCTCTGTCTCTCTGTGTTTACTTCTCTCTCTCTGTCTCTCTTTCTTTATCTCTCTCTCTGTTTATGACTCTCCTTCTGTCTCTCTTTCTTTCTGTCTCTTTGTTTGTCTCTGTCTCTCTGTCTGTCTCTGTCTCTTTTTCTCTGTCTCTCTCTGACTCTTTCTGTCTCTCTATCTGTCTCTGTCTCTCTTTCTCTGTCTGTCTCTCTCTGTCTCTCTTGTCTCTCTTTCTCTGTCTCTCTCTCCCTCTGTCTCTCTGTCTCTCTTTGTCTCTCTTTCTCTGATTCTCTCTGTCTCTCTGTCTCTCTTTCTCTGTCTCTCTTTCTCTGTCTCTCTGTCTCCCTTTTTCTGTCTCTCTCTGTCTCTTTGTCTGTCTCTCAGTCTCTCTCTCTGTCTCTCTCTCTGTGTCTCTGTTTATGTTTCTCTCTTTCTCTCTTTCTCTGTCTCTTTCTGTTTGTCTTTTTCTGTCTCTCTGTCTCCCTTTGTCTCTCTGTCTGTCTTTCTCTGTCTCTCTTTCTGTCTCTGTCTCTCTCTGTCTCTCTTTTTATGTCTCTCTGTCTCACTCTGTGTTTTTCTGTCTCTCTGCCTCTCTCTGTCTCTCTCTGTCTGTCTTTTTCTGTCTCTATGTCTCTCTCTGTCTCTCTTTCTCTCTGTCTCTCTGTCTGTCTCTGTCTCTCTTTCTCTGTCTCTCTCTGTCTCCTTTTTTCTGTCTCTCTCTGTCTCTCTCTCTCTGTCTCTCCGTCTCTCTGTCTGTCTCTCTCTGTCTCTCTGTCTATCTCTCTGTCTGTCTGTCTCTCTCTGTCTGTCTCTCTCTGTCATTCTCTATGTCTCTGTTTATGTCTCTCTCTGTCTCTCTTTCTCTGTCTCTCTTTTTCTGTCTCTCTGTCTCTCTGTCTCTCCGTCCCTTTGCCTGTCTCTCTCTGTCTCTCCGTCTCTCTGTCTGTCTCTCTGTCTCTATGTTTTTGTGTCTCTGTTTATGACTCTCTATGACTCTCTCTGCCTCTCTGTTTATGTCTCTCTCTGTCTCTCTATTTCTCTCTGTATCTCTCTGTCTCTCTTTCTCTGGCTCTCTGTCTCTCTCTGTCTCTGTCTGTCTCTCTTTGTCTCTTTCTGCCTCTCTCTATCGCTTTCTGTTTCTCTGTGTCTCTCTCTGTCCCTCTCTCTCTCTTTCTGTCTCTCTGTCTCTCTCTCTGTCTGTCTCTCTCTCTGTCTCTCTTTATCTCTCTCTGTCACCCTGTCTGTCTCTCTTTCTCTCTGTGTCCCTTTCTCCTCTTCCTACATCCTCTCTATACTCTCTCACCTTTTATGCCAGTCTGTGATAGGAATTTGATGTCTGCAGGAACTGCCAGCGTGGCTCGAGGTTTTAGCCTCTACTTTGACTCGCTGATCGACAAGAAGATCTCCGGGTTTCTCAACAGCACCATGCACATGGAGGTGGATCAGCTGTCAGAGTACCCGGACTTTTTTGCTTTCGCCATTACTATTGTGGTTACACGTGAGTCGCTCCTTATCATCGACGTCATCATTATCATAATCATATTATCACAACTGCCATAATTGCAAGTTACATGTTAAATATTAGAGGGGAGACTTCATTTTATCTGATTTTTAACCCATATAGCTATGCCTCTGAAACTAAAAAGGATTGCTTAAAAGAGACTAATGAAAGCAGATCAATAAATGCAACTATAATGAAAGACAAGCACTGTTCTTAGGTCATGTTATCAGGGGGAGGCCTTGAAGAATATTGTGATTACCAGGAAGATCAACGGTAGAAGAGGAAGAGGTAGACCAAGAGAGATTATGACGGATGGACTACGGCGGTGACACAGAGGGATATTTGAACGCCTAGGCCAATCGGTATGGCTGATTATGAGGATGAGCTCTTCCTCTCGCTGTAGAACAGCTAGCCGTCTGCAGAGAGCGTCACAGAAAGCGTAAACAACTAAACACCGTAGACCCGATGACAACTTGAGAAGCGAACGGCGCCTGCAAAAGACAAACCAATGACCTACACAACGCGCGGCAAATAGTTTGACCAGTTCGCCACGAAGACCCCCATACTTAACTTTACCATTGCCATAATTACTCCTATTGTTCATCTTAATCATTATTATCATTATCATCATCCCTCATCGCTGAGAGTTGGTGTAACCCAGAGTAACGTACCATATGACATTATTGCATACTGTGCTATGGAAAAGCATTGAAATCACAGCCCGTGGCGATGGCGAGTGCGACAAGCAAAACCCGCCAGCGTTAAGAAATGTCTGCCACAATTAGAGCATGAGATTTCAGGACCGTTGTTGCCCGCAGGTGTATTTAGTATGCCTCGTCTCAGACGCTTAGTTCTCAACCTATATGCAATCATGTGTTTCCTTTATTTCCACTCTCTTCCTGATTTTCCCCGTCCATTTACCACTGTCCTCTGTACTTTGTGCCCACGAATCTACCTCGGATGGATGGATATTTGGAAACAAAAATAATAAAACTCATTGACTCCTTCAATCTGCTCCTTAGTTTAGCGGTGACGATATCGAGTCCGTGTTCAATTGCTGACTCTTGGTCGTTCTATTTCTTTTTGGCGATTGGGCGCGCCTGGATTTCCGATTTAGGAGAAAGATATGTATCTCTTTTATATCGTTGTAGAGGCTGACCTTGGACGACCAGAGTAACTAACAACGATTGCTTCAAAGAAGCTAATGAAAGTAAATCTCCATATAGAACGATAAGAAAGAGACAAACACTGTTCTTTGAAGAACATTATGACAACTGGAACGATCAGTGTGAAAAGGGGTAGAAGCAGACCAAGAGAGATGATGCTGGATGGGCTGAAACGAATGCATGGAGGGATATAATTAAGGCAACCAGGGATCGTGATCTGTATAGACGCACGAGCGCCTACGCCAGTTGGCAGGGCACATGATGATGATGTTATGAAAGGCCGACCTTGACATTTTCTACCTGACTGTAATTCCTCATTGAGGATGTCTTTATGAAGCTATCGTCTCCATTCTTCAGGTGTGACACAGCCACCGGAGCCTTCAGAGACTGAGCATTAGGACAACTGTTGTGATACCTGATCTTTCCAACACCTCATTGTTTGTGATCTTGCCTAACAACTTGAATGCTAAGCATTTTTCTTAAACATCCTATGTTAAAGCTATTTAGCCGTTTCTTCTGACACCAATAAATGACCATGTTTTACTGAAACATTTATGTAGACTTCTATATTACATGCACCACTAACTGCCGCCTCCTCATGTCTCCGACAGTGCTCCTGGCTGCCGGAGTGCAGGAGTCAGCACGTTTCAACAACATCTTCACCTGCGTCAACCTCCTGGTCGTCCTCTACGTTACAATCTGCGGTCTCTTCAAAATGGACTTCCACAACTGGACCCTTAGCCAAGAGGAGGTAAGCGCTGCACTATACTGTAAATTTTGACCTGGAGTTGTCTTTCGTGTAATCTTCTTCTTCCTCTTCTTCTTCTTCCTCTTCTTCTTCTTCTTCGCTATCTTAGTCAGTTTATGACCGTTTTTGACCAGCTATTTTTCCCACTACCCCAGGTACCAGCTGGTGCAGGCACCGGGGGTTTCATGCCGTTTGGTTTTTCCGGCACGATGGCTGGGGCGGCAACCTGTTTCTACGCTTTTGTTGGATTTGACTGCGTGGCAACAACAGGTCGCGTATGCTTTTTTTTTACATTTTGTCTTCTTTTAAAACTTTTAGGTAGAGGCACAGCAATCGGGCCTAAACAGTGGTGTGGTCTATAAAGAGCGGGCCGACGTTTTTTTTTTTTTTTTTTTTTTGAGGGGGGGGGGGGTGCCTCCCCCTCCCCCACACCTCTTTTAATATAACCTGGTATCTGAGATTCAGGGTAAAAAGCTTTACTTTCAAATCTGCTTGAGCTGCTATTACCTAACGATATCAGTGTCTCTTGGTTATGTGTTCATGTTACACTTGTATAGACAGGAAAACCCGTATCCCTGTCCATAAATTTAAAAAAAAGGGGGGGAGGGGTGCGACTATACTTTATTATACTTCACTTTTCTTTACATTATTTTACTATGCTATACTTTACCTTACTTTCTGCACCTTTTTTTCCCCCTTTACTTTACATTAATTAAATATATTTTCCTTTACTTTACTTTAGAATACTTTACTTTACTTGCAGGTGAAGAAACAAAAAATCCTCAAAGATCAATACCAATTGGTATCGTAGTCTCGCTGCTAGTGATATTCCTGTCCTACTTCAGTGTGGCCGCCATGCTGACTCTGGTATGTCCCTATTACCTGTTAGACAGGGACGCGGCCCTACCTGCCGTCTTTGATCGCGTGGGCTGGAGGGTTGCCAGGTACATCATCGCAGCGGGAGCCGTCTGTGGCTTGTCTACAAGGTTAACCAGATATTTTATCTTTTAATTTTTAACGACTTTATTATCAGTATCTATATCATCATCAACCATCATCATCATCCTCATTATCACCTTTAGCAGCATCATTATATGTCTTGCTAACTTGCCTTTAATGCCCACGATTTAATGATCGGGTAAAATTATGTTATCATTCGTGTCTAGTGGTTAAAGTCAGCGTTTGTGACTTAGGCGTTCCCAAAGTCGTGATTCTTTGTCCACTTCTCGACTTCACTTTGTTTCAGGATTTGAGTATTGCCTGAACATCTGGTTGACGAATTTAGCTTATTCGTGTGCAGGCTAGTGGTTCCCCGCCTCTCATGCATATGCACTCAGACTTTGAGATGTGCACAACATGCTTGATCATAACTCACCGAAAAAGTCTTTTGACCACAAGTTTAAGTAAGTTGCGTATCCCATACAGGACGTTGCAGTACTAACCCCATCATTTTTTTTTTTTTTTTTGGCTGTTGTGGTTTGTCTAGGCAAATTTTACGTTCAGTAGTTTGCCACTGCTCCTGAACGGTCAGCTCACGGTACCACACACATACACACACAAACACACACACACAAATACTAGGGCAGGTGTAAAAGCTCAATGTGCCTAAACCCCCATGTTCCTGTGTCTTTGCATTATACACTCCTCGAGTACAGCGAAATATGCCTGGCAATACATTGTGCAATATTACATATAAAACGCTGATAAAACCAATTCTTTTACATGGCTCTGAAGCTTGGAGCACAACTAAAACAGATTAAGTCTTATTAAAAATTCGTCTTACGGCGAATCTTTGAACCCATCAAAGATGCAAATAGTGGGGAATTGAGACTGAAGCAGCAACGAAATTCATAATCTGTTTAAGTCACCACAGATTACTGGCATCATGAGCGCTAAAGACTAAAATAGCTGTGGCATATTGAGAGAATGTCATATAACAGAGAGGTAAAAAGTGTATACAGCTGGAGCATATTAAGAGAATGTCAGATGACAGAGAGGTAAAAACTGTATACACAAGGGAGCTGAAGGATATAGATCATGAAGCAGACCAAGAAGACAATAAAGAGATAATATTCAGTCAGACATACAAACAAAAGGTGTCACCAACTGGAAAGACAAGGCCAACCCGTGAGATTAATGGAAGCGGGTGATATCTGCAGCAATGAACCTCAGTCGGAATGCTGAAGATTAAGAGGAAGACATCGCGCAATACATTGATTTGTCCCTTCTCAGTTTTTGTGGCGAAGTGATCAAGCCGTTCTCTTCTTTATATTGTTTTTAGCGCTCCCCGGGTGTAATCTCTGGTGGAAAGTTATGGTTGACTGCCGTCTCTTTAGCTCTGGTCTTGACCCGGACCTTAATCTGTTGCCTGTACTTCCGTTTTACAGAGCTAGCTTTTTTGTAAGCAAACTGTTGGTTCCATACCTCTGAGGCAGATGTACTCTGGCTTTAAAGGGAACACCCCTAACTTGTGGTCTTTTACAACATGCTTGTTGGGGCAACAGTTGGGCTATTCTTTATTGGCCAAAATGGAGACCCGGAAGCGTCACGGGGAGTCCCGCGCTCTGAAGGCCGTCAGTTCGCTTCATGGTTGCGTCGTTCAGTTGAGGAGTGCAGTTTTTATGAAGATCCATTAAATTGTCACTGGAACTACGGTCTTAGTGCTTTGTGCGACACTCTCGACAGGCGGCTAACCGTTCTGTGGAGAGAGACCGAGTCATACGGTATAAAACTCAGCGCAATTAAGTCGATCCTCTTGACTTTAACCATGGCTGCCAATGGGATTTTTTTTTTACCTACCAAAGCTGAACCCGGGCAATACATAGGCACACACACACACACACACACACACACACACACACACACACACACACACACACACACACACACACACACACACACCACACACACACACACACACACACACACACACACACACACACACACACACACACACACACACACACACACACACACACACACACACACACACACACACACACACACACACACACACACACACACACACACACACACACACACACACACACACACACACACACACACACACACACACACACACACACACACACACACACACACACACACACACACACACACACACACACACACACACAAAACCAAGATTGTTAGAAAGTACAAATTTTATAGTTACCAAACGAAACATTTACCCACTTTTATTTTTTTTTTTTAAACCCAGATTTCAACATTTTCACTCAATGCGTCAAATCAAAACCCAGATCTGGGGGTAACAATTCATTATTGGTAGCCTTGACTTTAACTGTTACTACACGCAGTTCAAATTGAGTCTATTGTTAGTGTGCCTCCCCAGCCTCTTGGGCGCCATGTTTCCTCTGCCACGAATCCTCTACGCCATGGGAACCGATGGTGTTATATTCCGGTTTATGGGCCGTGTGTCCAGGAGATTCAAGACGCCCATCATTGGAACTGCTGTCTCCGGTGTCTTTGCAGGTACTTGGACCTGTGTTTTTGTTGTTGTTGTTGTTGTTAAGGAGTCAGCTCATCGTATCTCATCTTACTTCATTTCATTGTATCCATTTCATCTCACTTCATATACTCTCTCTCTCTCTCTCTCTCTCTCTCTCTCTCTCTCTCTCTCTCTCTCTCTCTCTCTCACATTATCTTATTTCGTCTTAGTTTATCTTATCTTATTCTGCTGTCGTATGATATTGCCACATCTTGACTTATCTCATCTTTTCTCTTCTCACCTCATTTTTTTACTCTTTTCATTTCCTCTTATCTTATCTAATTTTATCTGATCCATTTTCATCTCATGTAATCTTATTTTAGCTCACCTCATCTTCTGCAATATCCTTTTATCTTCATCTCATTTTTCTTCCTCATCTCATCTCGTCTCATCTCATCTTGATCCTCGTATGCATGGCGGTGAAGAAGTTGGCATGTATGATTTCTTTTGAAAGTTCAGCGGCTGGATGATGGGTTTCCGCGCGGGAGACATGAGTTCGGATCCTTTATAAAGTAATAACAAATTTCCCCCTGCACAGGGAAGAGGGATGGGGGGGGGGGGCGGGAAGAGAAATATCATAACCTGCGCGGTGATCGGCCACTGCACTATCTTCTTCTTCTTGGTAGCTATGTCTATCCACAACATTTCTGTTTTCTGTACATATAGTCAACTCCGACATAGAAGATCTTCTATGCCATAATGTCAAACTGGCCAGCATCTTCTCTATCGGTCTTCCTCTACCTCTCTACCCCTCCACTGTCCAACTGTCAAAGGGGTACTCTAGTTTTCTTCTTCTCATGACATAGCCAAGGGACAAGAAGATTGCCACTTTCTGGTGTGGACAATCAGGTCTCTTCGTGAAACATCATTCTTTTTATCTCACTATTCATTTGTGAAACCACAACATTGCAGCTTCCAAAATTTTTTGCACTAGTCAACCAACCTTCTATGATTCACTTCCGTAAATCAGGATAAGATTTAGGTAGCTTTTAAGAAGTTTTTTTTTTTTTTTTGGTTGCAGTTGACAAAGAAAGATTGCATAGAACACATTTCATTTTGTAAAATGCTGTTCTGCATGAGTTATTTTCAATTATACTTCGTTATTACATCTTCCATCTGATGTTATCTGGGTGCCCAAATATTTAAATGTATCCACACGCTTGAGGACTGTCCCATTTACTTTGATGTTGCATTTCGGAAAGTCCATTTTCTCTATAATTACCATTACTTCAGTATTTCTGCAGTTCAAACTAAAACCCTTGCTTTTACTTTTTGTTAGAAATGTGTCAATTTTTTTTTTCTTGCAGTCATAGTTCATTTTCAACAATCAACTGTCAGAATGTGGGTGCTGCTTGGTCTCGAGGCAGGGTGTCTGCCTCGAGTGCTAGAGGTTCCGGATTCAATCCCCGGTGAAAGCTGAGATTTTTTCACGTGGAATTGGACTTCTATTAATTCCCCCTGGTCTCTGGGTAGTGAAATCGGACGCCCGTGTGCATTGTCACACACGTAAAAAATCCCTTAACAGTTAGAAATCGACAAGAATAGACTAACGGCGAAGCCCAGGGAAAAAATTTGAGTTAAAAATCTACCCAAAATATTTCAGGATCCTCGCCGGTGCTACAGAGCCTGTGCACTGAGCTGAGCTTCTTCAGACTCAGACTTAAATTAGAAGGAGAAAGGAGCCTTATGGGTTACTACCCGTGTGCCATGATGTTATCCTTTGTTCCAACCTCAAACATCAAAATGTCAGAATATCGCAGTATGTTAACAATATACCGAGCAACCGATATTTCCAGCACACCATGTATATATCTAAATACTACATTTGACTGCAAAAATTGAATTAATTGGGTGATGCTACACATGCCTCCCTAACGTCTTGTTTAATGATTTGAAAAGTTGAAGGTGGCTGGCTTCTTCTTCTTCTCTTCTTCTTAGTTTCATCAGCTGTAAGCTCCGGTGGAAAGCCCTGGTTAATTGTCCACTTGGACTCTGGTTTTGTGACATGGCCTGAGTTTTGCGTGTACATATGTTCCAATGTCTTATGTGTGTGCAGCTGGCTGGTCTTTGTTGCTCGGACTGATGCACGCCTTCTTCGATGGAAGCCTACCAGACTTCCATGGGATGCCTCCAGTGGCCGAAATATTTACACTCACTTTGGTCCGAATTATCAATAATTGTAATGTACACTTTCACACCCATTGACCTCTGTCATACATGCATTCTACTAGACCAGTTATCCACACAACACTGCTGTTAATGGTGATGCCGAATACAGCAGCCAGCGCAGAGTTCCAATACTGATGGTAACGATCACAATCTGGTTGTATGTCTGTCTTGCCTTTGCTCTGAGTGTAGTGAGCCGGCCAGACCCTCTGGTTACACACAGGTGCCTCATTTTCTCCAGGCCATAATAATCTTCTTTCTCTACTGATTCCGTAGTTTGTTCCCAAAGGGTCTTGAATACATCTGCCTTGTCATGTATCAATTCACCATCCAGTTGTGCAGATCCAGGCAATCTGTCTGCCTGTTCATTACCCACTACGCCGGCATGCCCTGGAGAAAAGATCCATAGTATGCTCACTACACGGAAAGCTTGCCACTCTACTCGAAGCATCGCTGTCTTCACCTTTCTCAGCATGCCATAATACTCATTAGTCTAAGATTACCCTAAGATGATACACCCTAACACACTATTAACACATATTAACATGATGTCGTTTAATTATGATACTGATACGTAACCACAGCCATCTGGTAATGAAGATTACTTGCCCATCTGGAATCTGTCCTAGGATTTATGGCCATGATGTTCAACCTGAAAGAGCTGGTTGACATGATGTCGATAGGGACACTGCTGGCGTACACTCTAGTTAGTGTATCGGTGCTCATTCTCAGGTGTGTTTGTCTGTGTTTTGTGTGTATGAGTGTGTATGGAGGGAGGGGGTGGGGGTGTGGTAGTAGCCATGCTTATTGTTACTATAGCGATACTTATTGTTATTGTTGTTGTTTTTCCTACTATTTCCTACTGAAGATAATGACTGAGCACTTATGGGAGTGCCCCGAGTGCTGCCACTATTATTATCACGATCACCCATATTTTACCACTGTTAATTTACAAGGATTATTCTCATTATTTTTGTCACCATGACTTTATCATCATCGTCATTTTACTTTGTTGCCAATGTTATAATCACTATTTTTTTTATATTATTGTTATTATTAATAATAATGTGTGCTTGGCATGACATGTTTGTGTTAAACGACATATTTATAGTGCACAAATAAGTGTAGTATATATATATATATATATATATATATATATATATATATAATATATATATATATATATATATATATATATATATATATATACAAGTAAGTGAAAAGTAAAGATCCCTTTTTCACGTCTCAAAAGATATGAGACGGGGAGACGTTAACTATAAAATGACACCTTTGCTCAACCGTACTTCATCCTCATTGAAGGTATGAAGCAGACGAGAATCTGTATAGCAACAAGCACACGAAAAATATACAAGAAGAAGCGTGTGTTAGACCTGCTGCGAAAGAAAAAAGCAAATGTGCCATTGTTCAGATGATACGCCCCAAGACAAGCCAACCTACTTCCCAGACATCGTCCACTGTCAAAGTTTTAGTCGCCATTTTATGTAAGTATCTTCATTCATTCAGTAGCATGTCCCTCGCGGAACCTCGCTGCCATAACAACCCTCCGGAAAACCTTCCTATCCTGAGCAAGATGTCCTGCGTCTGATACACCCATCTGGAGATCATCTGCCACATCCTGCACCATCTTCTCCTTGGCCTTCCTCTTCCTCTCTTCCCAGGCATATACCCCTCTAGACTTCCATGACGTTTCAAGTGACCAAAATATTTCAATTTTCTTTGTTTTATTGTCTTTACTAGCCAACCCTCTTCAATATTCAGCTCTTGAAGTATGGATGCATTTGTTCTTTTCTTTACCCAAGATATTCTTAGAACCTGTCTGTAACATTTATATTCAAATGCATTTATGCGCTGTTCCGCTTGTTTAGTAAGTGTCCAGGTCTTACAGGCGTATGTTGCAATGGGAAAGATGCATGCTCTTAAAAATCTGACCTTTGTAATTCTATCTGTACAATTCCATAATTTATTCAGTTGTTTTAGTCTTTGAAGAGCAATTGATAGTCGCCGTTTAATTTCTTTCATTGTGTCACCATTGTTGGTAACCAGTGACCCAAGATATTCGAAATTTTCCACCACTTCCAATCTTTCCTCATTAACATATATTTCCTTCTCCATGGCAGTTTTGTTTGTATGCATCTACATCTAGTAAAATAACGTGGGGAGAAGAAAAGGATGGGGGGGGGGGGGGGGGGGGGGGGGGGGGGGGTGATTTTGTTGTTTTAAATCAAATGGTATGTCATACGCTTACTGGTCATTGCATCGCTTTCACTCGATCACTAAAATCCCGAATCAGGTCAGTGTACTTGTCCTGTCCTATCCAAATGACCACTACATCTAGGTATTTATCACTGTATCTTCACCTTCCTCTTTTTGTTATTCATTTTGATTCCTTTCTATCACAGAAAAGCTACCTATATCGCCTATAGTACCATTTTTAACCCTGTATCCCCGAGAAAGCCGTTTAGGCTATCCTCCGAACAACGGTCCCAAATTATCGAGTTCTAAAATATACCCTAATAGGGCCTCAGTCACATGTAAATTGCGCACTTCCGGCGGCTACCACCACCGTCGAGAGTATCTTCCGCGCCGCGCTTAGCGGCTAAACTAGATGGCTGGGACTAAAATAAAATGAAGGAAGATGCAGGAGATGCGGTAGCTGCTGCTCCTGACTCCCAAACCCCTATCGCGAGGATAAAAAGGAACGAAGCGCAGTCATAATATAATTAAACGCATCCCAGTCCTTCAGTACAGTATTACTTGCTGTAAAGTAAAGTAAAGGACTTTTTAACCTGACCTGATTTGCGAGGGGGTTGGGGGGGGGGGGGGGGGAGATCGTCACGTTTAACCTGCACCCCCCCCCCAAAGAGGAGCTTTTGGTTATAATTGTGACTAGCTTATGTGCGCCATTCAGAATTGCTCAACATTGCTGGACACCAAGTAGACATGGGGAAAAAACCCATGCAGTGTTGATGCGATCAGATGAGACAGACCCAAATACTGTCTCCACCGACGAGGAAGTCGTCTACTGGCCAGCCAATGAGCGACCCGGTCGCCGATGAAAGGACTTCTCCTTCGCCATTGACGTATAAGGTGTACAATGCCAGACTTATTTTTGTGTATACTAACTGACACATACTGTCCGGGACACACAGGAGTGCGAGATGATGAAAGAGATGATTTTTTCCCTAAAAAAGCGAAAGGAAGCATTCGCACTGGACAAGCAAACATTCTGAAGACCATTTATGAACGAATGCTGGCAGAAGACACAAAGTTCATAAAATAACTTGTGTAAGGTATGTATGAAAAAGAGATTAACAGCAGATACGGCAAGAATGGATTATGAAAGGGAGAGAACAAGGTGTGTATAATCAGGAAAGAGCATCTACACCTTAAGAAATTTGCTGCTGGAGACTGAGCATCTATGGTTATGCCCGGTGTGCCGTGATGTTGATTCTTAAATCAGTAAATACTAAATGGTACTCGATGAGTTATATGGTCCGTCCTACTGACCGCCTTAAATTTCCAAGACTGTACCTGGTACCAATTTAAGGCTGCTTTAAAGTGGGAGCCAATGTAATTTCTGAAAGAGCACAAATTTCACTCGACGGAGATTCGAACCCAAATGCGTCAGGCCTCCAACTGAGTATCTAGCCATCGCGGCTGTCGCAACTTTAGGATCGAATGGCAAAGATTTGATCTCGTCGCCAAGAATATTCTTCTTGTTGGAGTATACAGCTAGGGTAAAAGACAGAGATGTAGGAATTCCTTAACAGCCAACCTTCATTGTAGAGCTGGTACCTGACTGACTGCCTTATTCCCCAGGTCTTTTGACTGCAGCCTTCTCCTCCATGCTGATATTTGCAGACAGCGGCCTGGTGGACAAGGAACCGTGGGCTGTTTCGATCACCGCCATGTTTGGGCTTCTGTTTGTGGGCTGCCTTGTCTTGATCATGCTGCAGCCTCAAAGTAATGCCAGCCTGCCATTCAAGGTAAAACTTCTACAGCTCGGAGGGGACACCGGCGTGCCTCCTCCAGCTTGTGATAATTCTTTCTGCTCTTTGACATCTTATGCAGTTTGCTAAATATAATTTAAACAAATAATATGCGCTTCTTACTGTAGTGGCGCATCACGCATATTATATTTCTTCTTCTTCCCTACCCACTCTTCATCAACCTTGCTTTTCTCCTTCTCTTCTTCTTCATCTTCTCCCCTCCCCCTTAAAGCAAAGTCTGCCAAACATCTCAGGCTAAATGATCGGGCGATGAGGTCAATATCATTCCGGCCGCCTTTACTTCCCATGACTTTACCGTGTGCCCATTTAAGGCTCGGTGGACATGGAAGCTAAGGTTATATTTGATTTTTAAAAGTCCGGCTCCATCATGCCCTGAACCCACGACCTTCGGATCCACACGCAAGCTTTTAGTCGCTACACCACTGTAGCACCCTTATGTATGTATACATATGTACGGGTGGCTCAAGGGATGTGAGCACCCAGCTTCCAGATATCTCCATAGAATGACCCTGGGTGATTATTTCATTCCTTATGGACCATCACATCTCCGCCTCACTGTAGATGTTTTGAGTAGAAACAGTTTGTATCTGCCTTATATGTCTCTGGGCGCGATGAGGATTGATTGATCGATTGACTTTAGATGTGTGGGATTTCACTGCACATATATTTAAGGTGACCCTATTCTCCACATATATTGACTACACCATCAAACAGACGTAAGCCTAGACATAAAAGTAATTAAACTAGCAGATCAATTTACTTATTTAGCTAGTAATTTTGATAGTGATGAAAATACAAAGGAATGAATAATGACACGCATTGACAAGGCATCAGCAGCTCCTAATAGCTGAAACAAAATATGGAACTCAAAACTGTATGGTTTTGAAACCCAGTTAGGTATTTTGCAATTCTAATGTTATTTCAGCTTTAAAGAATGCAAGTGGAAGTTGGAGAACAACTTAAGACCTGAAATATAAGTTAAATGCATTCGAAAACAAATGACTGCAGAAAATGATTAAAATAAAATGGAATGAATTCAAAAGTGGTAAAGAAATAAGAAAAATTTCCGAGAAACCACTAATATCAACAGTTATAAAACACAGAAGATGGTGCTACAATGGACACATCCTGAAAAGAAACCACTAGTATCAACAGTTATAAGACAGAGAAGATGGTGCTACATTGGACATATCTTGAGAAGAAACCACTAATATCAACAGTTTTAAAACACAGAAGATGGTGCTACAATGGACACATCCTGAAAAGAAACCACTAGTATCAACAGTTACAAGACAGAAGATGGTGCTACAATGGACACATCCTGAAAAGAAACCACTAGTATCAACAGTTACAAGACAGAAGATGGTGCTACAATGGACATATCCTGAGAAGAAACCACTAGTATCAACAGTAACAAGACAGAGAAGATGGTGCTACAATGGACACATCCTGAAAAGAAACCACTAGTATCAACAGTAACAAGACAAAGACGATGGTGCTACAATGGACACATCCTGAAAAGAAACCACTAGTATCAACAGTAACAAGACAGAGACGATGGTGCTACAATGGACATATCCTGAAAAGAAACCACTAGTATCAACAGTAACAAGACAGAGACGATGGTGCTACAATGGACATATCCTGAAAAGAAACCACTAGTATCAACAGTTACAAGACAGAGAAGATGGTGCTACAATGGACACATCCTGAGAAGAAACCAGCAGAGAATTGCCAAACAGGCATTAACATAGGAAATAAAAGGATTAAGGAGGCGCGGACGCCCACAAGAAACCCTAAGACTCACGTTGAAGAGAGAGGCCAAAGCTGCTGGATTGGATTCCATCCATAATATTGAAGTGATTGTACATGATAGAACGGAATGGAGAAATAAACTGCGAGCCCTATGTGACATATATTGGCACAACAAGACAATGAATGAATGAATACAAGTAAAAATGTCCCTTTTTCACGCCTTTTGTTATATAGGGCATAAATAGCTAGGCCCTTTTTTTTATATAGACTAATCGGCACAAATGGGTAATGAGGTTAGCATCACGCCGACCGCCTTTACTTCACAGGACTGCGCCCGGTATCCACTCAAGGCTGGGTCGACTTGGGAGTCAAGGTCATTTTTTTGAAGAAAAAAAAGTCCGGCTCCGCCACGGAGCGAACCCACGACCAATAAATGAATATTCTCCACTAACTTCCCCATTTGTGTCTCCACATGCAGGTTCCCTGGGTTCCGGTTCTACCAGCCATCAGTATGTTCGTCAATGTGTACCTCATGCTGAAACTATCTCCCATGACATGGGCAAGATTCAGCATCTGGATGGCAATTGGTAATTATTTATTTATCACTGACTGATACTGTCATGTATTTCCACGTTACCCATATAGGACGGCCGTGGCTTAGGCGTTGCGAGTCCGACTCGTAATTCCAACGTACCGCGATCGAAACCCACTGCTGGCTGCGTGGATTTGTATTGCGGTACGGAGCGTCGCAGGTCGACCCAGCCTTAAATGGGTACTAGGATGTATGTCCTGGGAAAGTAAAGGACACATTACCCACATAGTGCCAACTGGTCTGTAAAATATGGGTGCTCTTCCCATACGCCCGATGCGCCTAAGACGTAAAAAGGGATTTTTACTTTACTACTTACATATAGTAAATGTTTTAGCTATGTTTTAGCAGGCAGTGTATTCGTACATGAGCTAACTAAGGGCCTAACACGTCTCACAATCTATGCGGACTTTAAAAAAAAATTCCTATAGTTTTTTAAATGCAATTTTTTTTTCTTTTAATATAAAAAAAAAATCCCCAAATGCTGTTTAATTTTGTGAATATTTTTTGGGGGTATATTTATCATATAAAGGTATATGGCAGCAAACAAATTGAGAAAAGTCTGGAGGCAACTGAGCTGTGGTTCTTGAGAAGAATGTTTCGAATACCTTGGACTGCCAGAAAAACTAAAATTAAATGCCTCTAATGAAAGCAGAGCATTGTATACAACAATGATAAGGAGACGAACAAAGTTCTTTGGTCATGTGACGAGAAAAGGTGCACTTGAAAATATCGTGACTGGTAGAATAGACAGAGGCAGACCAAGAGAAATGATGGTGGATGGTTTAAGACAGTGGCATGGAGGAATATCATCGGTGGAATTGATCCAGAACACCAAAGACCGTGATCTGGGGAGATGCATGAACGCCTACGCCAGCTGGCAAGGCACTTAATGATAATGATATTATCTCATAGTTTTCTTTATTATGTCGGCGTCTGTGTCTTAGGCGTTGCGAACGAGCTTCGTAATGCCGGGGTAAAGGGTTCAATACCAGCTGTGTGCTTTGCGCCTTGCGTTGGTTTCGACAGTGGTATCGAGAAGCCGACCGTCCAGCAGGCAATGGCAAACTACTGGAGTACGAAAACCACAACATAAAACAAAAATGCTGGGGTTGATTCTGCAATGTCCTATAAAAGGATACGCAACTAACTTTTAACTTTCTTAATTCTTACCTGTTATAACCTATGTAAATAAAATAATCAGCTTGGTACGCATCTACTTCCACCTTGTAGTTATTTGTATATATGAGGATTTTCTGCGATTAAATGGTGTATATTGAAACTGCAGAGCATTGTTGCCAGAAAAAAAAAACCTTATTTAATGCCAAACCATTACCCAAAATATGCCAGAAAATGCCAAATAAAATCAAACATTGTACTCGCTTCACATCAAAAACTCTAGATTGAATTCTTCCCTGTCATCCTTACTAGAACCAGTAGAAGATACAGCGTAAACCTATTCAGATGTAAAATCGTTTTTGGGATGATGTGGCCACTGGTAAAAGTATTAAAATCTATCACAGATAGAACTAAGTCTATATCCTCTCTATTTTCTGTCCCCGAGTAGTTTCTGAACAGTCTGAATCACTTGGTAGCAGTGGTGGGTTTTGGTTTTATATCCCGCATTTATTATAGTAAATGAACATAAATTACAGAGGGCCTTGGTTTATCAAAGTCACGTATCGGAAGACAACAAATACAATATAAGAAATAGCGCGAATCTCCGTTAGTCCGTACCAGGACATCACAACAAAGTCAAACTGAAATAAAGATGTTAACTGTAGGTCTACATTGCTTTTGGTAAATCTGCATGTTTCTCACAGAGGAACCATGAAAAAATGTGAGCACATCTTGATTTTTTTTTAAAAGCCAGGAAAACCCCAAATATGCCAGTGCATTATCTAATGCCAGTTTATTTTCAAATATGCCAAATTTGCGGAATCTGGCATCAAAAATGCCAATATGGCAACCCTGCTGCAGAGGCCTTATACACCTTAGGGCAGTGGTTCTCAACCTCCCTACTGCAGTGACCCTTTAATACAGTTCCTTACGTTATGACGACTCTCAACCATCAAATTATTTTCGTTGCTGCCACATAACTTTAGCGAATTTGTGTTTTTAGACAGTCTTAGGCGATTCTATGAAAGGGTCGTTGGACCCCCACGGGTTGAGAACCGTTGGATTAGGGCTTCATCAAGTCTAAATCGGGCCCTGATCTTAGGTTATACTTCGCTGCTGTAGCCGTTACAGGTGCACCAATTGCATCTTCTTAGGAGGTTGAACTTGAACGCGGGTATTTTGGTCCACGGTCCAGATTGAGATGTTAGAATGTCAGGATACTATGGTAAACGTTTAAGGCGCAGCCAGGAGTGGACAACCGGATCGATTGATCAATCACGAATTTTCACATGGCGAGTAATGTTCTACGCAATCTGCCTTTGCCAACAGAGGTGAGAAAGAGTGTTTTAAAGGTCTTTGCAGAAACAATTCCTATGCACGGAAGTGAATTGTGGATATTCAGCTCATTGGTTGGGGGAAGGGGGGGGGGGGGCGGAAATGACAGTTGCAGATATGTTATTTCTGAAGAAAGATGATGACCACACCAAACTGTGGGCTCCGTGGAAAAGAATAAACTCACTGCACCGTAAAATGCATGTCGTAAAATGCCACTAATTAAGAGTTTCCTCAAATAAGATGTATTAGGCAAAAGATTCGCAGACAGAAAGACAGATAGATTAGATGGTTAGATAGATAGATAGATAGATAGATAGATAGATAGATAGATAGATAGATAGATAGATAGATAGATAGATAGATAGATAGATAGATAGATAGATAGATAGATAGATAGATAGATAGATAGATAGATAGATAGATAGATAGATAGATAGATAGATAGATAGATAGATAGATAGATAGATAGATAGATAGATAGATAGATAGATAGATAGATAGATAGATAGATAGATAGATAGATAGATAGATAGATAGATAGATAGATAGATAGATAGATAGATAGATAGATAGATAGATAGATAGATAGATTAGATAGAATAGATAGATTAGATAGAATAGATAGATTAGATAGAATAGATAGATTAGATAGAATAGATAGATAGATAGGTAGACAGGTAGATAGGTAGACAGATAGATAGGTAGATAGATAGATAGATAGATAGATAGATAGATAGATAGATAGATAGATAGATAGATAGATAGATAGATAGATAGATAGATAGATAGATAGATAGATAGATAGATAGATAGATAGATAGATAGATAGATAGATAGATAGATAGATAGATAGATAGATAGATAGATAGATAGATAGATAGATAGATAGATAGATAGATAGATAGATAGATAGATAGATAGATAGATAGATAGATAGATATAGATAGATAGATAGATAGATAGATAGATAGATAGATAGATAGATAGATAGATAGATAGATAGATAGATAGATAGATAGATAGATAGATAGATAGATAGATAGATAGATAGATAGATAGATAGATAGATAGATAGATAGATAGATAGATAGATAGATAGATAGATAGATAGATAGAGAGTTTGTACTTTTGTAAATTGAAGTACGATGTGGCTAAAGTAAAGTTGGAGAGGAAAAAGAATCTTACTGACACAGTTTGGCATCATAGAATGATAGAACATCAGCTTCAGAAATGATTGACAGTACATGAGGTGGAAGACTGTGGATAGTCATGATTACCAACTTAGTAGATTTTTTTTTTATGTGTAAAATTCTGCTGCTCTGTAAATTAGAGATTGGTGAAATGGTTTCACAATGCAGTCCTCAACGTTTATTTTGACTCGATTCCTACGTTGGGTCGTTGTGAAAAAAGACGTTTTCGTAGCTATCGGACATTGGTACGAGAGTCGCACTGTGGAAGATATTTGGCCCTCATCTCGTAATACACCCGTATGTAGGATTGAAATTATTGCTGTCATCTTCCATTGCTGAGACAGCACATGTGTTTAAAAACAAAAACAATAAATTAAAACACGTATAATTACTTCTTCTCCTCAGGAACACTGATCTATTGTACCTACGGTATTCGCCATAGCACTGAAGAACTCAGAATTAGGACAGAAGAACGTAACCTGGGGGAATGTCAAACGGCACTGCAGTCAGTTGCTGACCACGCTAGCAACGAGGATAGTGGGATTTCAGTCTTTGAATCCAACTCTGCCTGTTGTAAAAGTAACAAGACTTTGGAAGGACGGTCTCAGTAATATTTATACTTGTCTCATCCGTTGTGTCAGACATGTTATAAAAGTGTTAATACAACGTAGGATAGTCTCAGTAATATTTATAACACCGCTTGTCTCATCTGTTTGTGTCTGACATGATATAAAGGTGTTATGATAGTCCCAGTAATATTTATACCACCGCTTGTCTCATCCGTTGTGTCTGACATGTTTTAAAGTGTTTTGATAGTTCCAGTAATATTTATACAAAGGTTTGTCTCATCTGTTGTGTATGACATGATATAAAAGTGTTATGATAGTTCCAGTAATATTTATACAAAGGTTTGTCTCATCTGTTGTGTATGACATGATATAAAAGTGTTATGATAGTCCCAGTAATATTTATACAAATGTTTGTCTCATCTGTTGAGTCTGACATGTTATAAAAAGTGATAAGACAATATATGATAGTCTTAGTAATATTTTTTCATCTGCTTGTCTCATCTGTTGAGTTTGACATGTTGTAAAAGTGATAACATGATGTGGAATGGTCTCAGTAATAGCTATACAAATGTTTGTCTGATATGTTAAGTCCGACATGTTGTACAAGTGATAAGACAAAGTAGGACAGTCTCAGTAATATTAATGCCACTGCTTGTCTCATCTGTTGAGCCTGGCGTTTTGTAAAAGTGATAAGATAATGCATTAGGTCTCAGTAATATTTATACCATTGCTTGCTTTATCCGTTGTGTCTAACGTTTTGTAAAAGTGATAAGACAACGTAGGATAGTCTCAGAAATATTTATACCATTGCTTGTCTCATCCGTTAAGCCTGAAGTTTTATAAAAGTGGTAAGATAATGTAGGATAGTCTCAGTAATATTTATACCATTGCTTGTCTCATCCGTTTTGTCTGAAATTTTGTAAAAGTGATAAGATAATGTATGATGGTCTCAGTAATATTTATACCATCGCTTTACAACTGTTGTGGCGTCTGTGGCTTATTCGTTGCGAACGCGCTTCGTAATACCGGGATGCCGGGTTTGATCCCAACTGAGGGCTTTGCGCTTTGCGTTGGTTTCGACAGTGGTTTTGAGAAGCCGACCGTCTAGTGAGCAATGGCAAACTACTGGACGTAAATTTGCTTAGAAAAACTACAACAGCCAAAAAATGCTCTGGTTGGTTCTGCAACGTCCTGTAAAGCATACGCAACTAACTTTTATTGCTTGTCTCATCCGTTGTGTACTGTAAACGTGACAAATGGCGATAAGACTGTCTCAGTAATATCTTTACCACTTCTAGTCTCATCCGTTGTGTATTGTAAAAGTGACAAATGGCGCGAAGACTTATTGTAGAATTCTGATTTACGCGTTGCAAAGTAAAAGTAAAGATCCCTTTTCACACCTTAGGCGCGGCCGTCTTTATTTCCCCAGAACAGCCATCCTGATACCCATTTTAGGCTGGGTCGACCTGCGACGCTCCATACCATGATAAAAATCCATGCTGTGAGTTTCAATCGCAGTATACAAACGCAGCTTTATATTGCCGGGGTGCCGGGTTCGATCCCAGCTGCGGACGGTTTGTCTAGAGTTTGTTTTGACAGTGGTGCCGAGAGCTGACCGTTGAGAGCAGTGGCAAACTACTAAACGTAAGATTTGCCTAGATAAACCACAAGAGCCAAAAAGTACTGTGATTGGTTCTGCAACGTCCTGTAAAGGATATGCCACTAACTATAGTAGCATTCTTCTATACTTCCTCATTTACCGCTTTAGAGTCAAGTGAGATGTAACGTTTTGCTTCTTGCTCGTCTAACTGCCTCCACCATAGATAAATCATGGTGATGTAGAGTTTCTCTGATGTTATCTTTTCATCTTTTTTTTTTTTTTTTTTGTCTACCGTGTTGTCTACTTTTTTCTCCTCTTTTGGTGTATGTCGCGTATGGTATGGCGTTGAGGAAGATGTAACGTTCTGCTTCGTGCTCTTCTAAATTTCTCCACCATAGATACATCATGGTGTTGTAGAGTTTCTCTGATGTTATCTTTTCATCTTATTCTTGGTCCACCGTGTGGTCTACTTTTTTCTCTTCTTTTGAATATGTGTCTGGTATGGCGTCGCAAGGCATTCGCTCTAACTGGGCAAAACATTTGATTTTCCCGTGTGGGTTCTGGGGCTCCATTGTAATGGAAAATAAGAACAGATTCACTGCCTCCCCAACAAGCATGTCGTAAGAGTCGACTAACTAGAGGTTTCCTTCGAAGTCGGAACGCTTCTGCATGTGAGGAAAAGAACCAACAGTCTGCATACAAAAAATCACACCTGTAAAACGGATGTGAACGAAACACTCAGGTTCTGTGAAAAGTCTAAAGTCCAAAGGTAAATGAACAACCAGAATTTTCAGCCGGAGTTTATAGACGGTTAATGCGAAGAAGATGAGGAAGAAGATTTGATTTTTCTGTCTTTTTAGTATGTCATTTAGTGTTGCCATTGCAGACTTTTTTCTGCTATGACCTTGTTCCTGATGTTATCTCTTCTGGTCACAATTACAGCCCTTCTCATAATATCATGTTCGTGGCTACTAATTTTATTGTCTAATCCTTTGTAAGCGACAATGATAACAGTGAATTCCAGTGACATGTTATTTAAAAGCTTAACGAAATTGGAGGTGCAGAAGAACGTGCACAAAACAACACAAAGCTTCGGCTGGCAGCCTTTGTCAAACATGAAGTGAACAACACAAATGTAACAAAGAGGAGAGTATTTGGATCTCTAAGGGGTGGCGTGAGCAACGTTTACAAACATGTGATTTGGAATGAATAAAATAAAATAAAATAAACGACTGCTAAAAATATGCAGTCGTCAAAAATAAAAGAGTAATATTATAATATATAATACAATAGTAGGAATCCCAGAACTCAGATATGCAGACGACACAGTTCTCATTTCCAACAGTGTACAAGGTTTAGAAAGATTAATTCTGGCCATAAAAAAAAAAAAAACATCAAAGAAGTGAATATGTTTCTGAATTTTGAAAAAAAAAAATGTTTTATGCAAATACAGCACAGAAACCAGGTATCACAATCGAAAAGGAAGAATAAGAAAATGTAACAGATTTCGAATACTTGGGCTCTTTAGTGAACAACAGTGGTGACTGCTGAAAAGAAGTCAGAAGAAGACTTGCATTGGCAATGCAAGGATTAAATAGCATAAAGAACCTATGGCAACGCACTAGTAAATTGGTTAAAGTAAAAATCTTGAGATCATGCATTTTGCCTGTGGCAATTTACAGTTGTGAGTCTTGGACTCTCACTCAGTCACTAAGTAAAAAATTGGAGCTTTTGAACTGAAATGTTATAGAAAAGTTCTTTGAATACCTTGGATCAAGAAGAGAAAAAACATCCACATTCTGAACGAGTTGAACATCAAGGAGAACTGGCTCATAACCAGCATCCTGTCCCGAAAGTTGGTGTTTTTTGGCCACATCAAGCGACATGATGGCTTGGAAAAGACGGTGATAGAAGGTGCAGTTTGTGGAAGGCGAGGTAGGGGTAGACCACCGCGAAGATGGATACAAGACATTGAAGATGCATTGGTATTGAAAGCAAATGGGGCCGGAGAGCTGTCTGTGGAAAGGGATACTTTCAGGCATGCCGTGAAGAGAGCGACGTTCTGTGAAAGACGTGTTTACTGATGATGAGTAGGAATAACAGAAAATACAAAAGTTAATGATAAATAAATGATAACATAATAACCTTGAGTGGGAAAGAAATGCTTTTTATGAGATATTTCTTGTTGATCGGAATTGCCTTATGCATAGTAGTTTTTAATGTACATAACAATGGACAATTCTTATTTGTGTGTAATATTTATCTCTCGAAATGTTTATATTTGTTCAAATTGTGGAAAATATAAAGTGATTTTCAAAGAAAACAAGAATTGTTGTGTTAGTGAAAATTTTATTTCTGGAATACATGTATACACTCGCGCCAGGATACAAATGCACCCAGCAAAACATACAACACTGTTTGGCGATATAACTACAAAACATTGATAAAACTGTACAGAAATTCAATAAAACCAGACTTGAAAAACAATGTAATATCTACAACAGTGGCAAGGCAAAATAAATTTGCAAGTGTAAGCGTTAGCAGGAACGATTACAATGGGGAGGGTAACACATGATATTTTACTTTTTGTCACTTCGCTGTTTGTTTTATGCCTACGCAGCTAACATCGTAGTACTAGTAACTGGCAGCTTTCTCGCGTTACAGTTTCTCAATAAGTGACATTAAGCATACAGCGAGGGCTCTTTTTGCTTTGTTCCAGAGGTAAACCTTCTTTTTCTTCTTCTTCTTCTTCTTCTTCTTCTTCTTCTTCTTCTTCTTCTTCTTCTTCTTCTTCTTCTTCTTCTTCTTCTTCTTCTTCTTCTTCTTCTTCTTCTTCTTCTTCTTCTTCTTCTTCTTCTTCTTCTTCTTTCGTTCGCTTGAAATAAACTATCTATATCTGCAATGCTGTCTCTAGTATAAACTTCAGTCTTTTGTAATTCACTTAGCAAGCCGTAAAGTTTGACTTGCACCGATGTTTCTCTTGGCCAAAACTTTTGCCTTGATATAAGAGGTAAATTGACTGTCGTAATTGTAACGAATGGTCAGTATTAATAATAACATGTAGTAAAATAACGCATTTATCTTTGGCAATAGAAAATTTGAGCGGCGGTTACTGCTGTGACGTGCACACCTCGCCATTGGGCTACACTGAACTCAAAAGCCGTTATGGCGTAGTCGTTACATGGCATGCCTGCTGAGACAGTGGTCCTGAAAGTAGAAGTGGACAGATGAAGACTGGGGAAAAGAGGACAAAGAAACTAAAAACACAATCAAAAGAAATAAAGATATGACGAAGAAATACTAGCGGTTTGAATGTTTAATTGTTTCATTGCTTGCTTACCCCCACCCCTCTTCTATTTTTACAATTCTTAGGTCGATGTGGGGGTTGGTGGTTTGGAGCGTGTGCGATGTGCCTGAGGATTTAGAACCGTTCTTTCACCAT